CACACACACACACACACACACACACACACACACACACACACACACACACACACACACACACACACACACACACACACACTCTACTTACGATGCATGCGAACTGAAGTTCCCGATTGAGCAGCATTGACTAGGTGCCTCATGCAACCACAGTGGCTCACCAAATGCACTTATAGAGAATGCATTTTGCCACGTTAGCAATTCAATTTTGGCGATTTTGCATTTGAGTAGGAGTGAGAATGAACGAGGGCCTTGGGCGCCTTTGCTCTTTTTCAGAAGAGGATGTACTGACACTGCCGAGTGAGAAACTGCTCAAAGCCCATGCCACTCCCCAGATGTGTGTAAGACAAAACGTATGGCGGGTTATCTTCCAATGCTCTACGAGATGATACATTCTACATGTTCAACATTTTCTGAGGCTTTGAGCAGTGTGGCAACGCCCTTGCTCTTTTTCAGAAGAGGATGTACTGACAATCTGACACTGCCTCAAAAACGTTTTTTTTTTTTGTTTTTTTTTTTTCACTGCCTCAAAAGCCAAAATTCGAAATGTGAATAATGCAGACTGTAGGGTGTCACAAATTTGGGCAAGATACACTGGCCATTTGCACATTCAGCGAGTAGTGGAAAGACGCCCACAGATTCAGAAGAATGAGACTGCCCATTTCCTCGTTGCTATGGGCGTTGCAATGGTCCTTAATATACATAAAACGTTGGATCAGCCCATTGGCAAATGTAATTTTTGGGGCATGGGAGTACCGTCCATATACATGTAGACTGTTGTAAAACAAAAAAAAAAAAAACAAAAAAAAAAAAACCATGTAGACTGTTGTATACTTGAGGGAGGCTCGATATTTGTTGAATACCTCAGATTCTGCATTCAATGCAGAATCTTTGTGGAATGTAGGTGCTGCTAAGGTGCAGTGGCGGGGACCCATTTCTGGTCGTTTGTTGGGGTCCCCTGCTGCACCCACCACTTGCTGAAAATGGGATAATAATCATAATATGATAAGGGCCGAAGTTTATTTCCTCCCCCCCTCCCCCCCCAAACAAAAAGTGGGACAATGGGTTACTGCACTAGTCACCAAAATAAAGTTGAAGTTTTCAACTAGCACTGGAGGGAGTGTTTATCTTTTGAAGATTAAAAAAAAAAAAAAAAAAAAAAAAAAAAAAAAAAAAAAAAAAAAAAAAAAAAGGGGGAGGGGGGAAAAGA